TATGATGATTTCTATGAAAATTGCGTTTGTACTTACATTGTTGTTGTTGAAGTAAGCTAATGCAAGAGTTTCTCAAATATTGTTTTATATCAGCATTTTTAGTCATACCTTCTATAAGAGTATCCAACTCCACTGCAAATTCTCTAAGCACTGAGTTATTTAACCTAAAATTCTGACAAGAAAACTTAAGGCTAATCTTAAGGCCTAATCCTAAAAAATACAATTCGTCCTCTGAAAAGTTAGTGTTGCTTAAATTTAAAACTCTAGGATGGAATTGATGGTGATCTGAAAACTTATTCATGAGTGTTGAGGTGCTTCTCTGTTGTTTTTGCAAAATCAAACGGTTTAATTTGTTGGTAAGACTTCTCTTCTTGGTAGATTTTAAGCGAGCGACCTCATCTTCTATGTTGTTGAAGAAGTCGTTGACAAGAAACCAAGGGTGCTGTTGCAAAATTTGGTCATAAGTAATTTTCAGATTGACATTAATATGATGGAGTTTGGTATAGTGCTTCTTAAGTTCTCTTTTCAGGATCTTTTTCTCCAAAATCTGTTTATCTTTATCAGATACATTTTTTGATGTTTTGACCTTAGCAAAAGTAGGAGTGACTTGATGTAAAATGCACTGTCTAACGAACCAAATGTTTAAGAATATAGTCATTCTCTTGCAGGATAGTCTTCTGTAAGTATCAACCAAGACTGTCATAGTCAATAAATCAATATAAGGTTGAATGTTCGAATAAATGAACTTTGATGGTACACAAGGCAAATATCGAACACAGTATTTAATCAAATCTTGCCCAAGTACTTTCGATCACAAGATCATCTTCAGGGGCATCTGAAATAAGCCAAGAAACGTTTTTTTAAAAAAGGAAAATTAATTCACTTGGATAAAAACTCCAAGTTTATAGTTGAAAAAAGTTTTTTTATGTGATTAACGTTTATAGACTTACTTCGTCAGTTGTGGCCTATCCAGCAGTAACAGAATATCATAAATGTAAATTGGGACATAACAAATACACTAAACAAAGACAAACACTTTAAAATTTAAAAATTGGAGAAGCCAATTTTACATTTACATTTTATATAGAAGCCGGAGACAGAATGGCTCCCAGCCTGGCGGAGGCGGAAATATTGAGGTGACATGTGACAAATGACAGCTTGTGAAGGGCAGTTACAATAGATAAGTGATCTGCGCCTTTCAAGATTCTATGAAACTAAGTATTGACCAAAGGTCCAACTGACACCACTATAGGAAATCAACTGAAGAAATATAAAATTATATCTAATATTTTTATGTAGATTGAATAATCCAGATCTCATAACTCAAACCTGTCTATAATAATTAGGATGTTAGTTTGAGAGCAATTGAAGTTGACATAAAGTATGAATGTAAGAAATAGACTAAACAATATATTAGACAGTGGATAGTTGACTACAATAAAATGGTCCACTAAGCGCTATCAGTACTGTAAAAAGAAAATCTGAATATTCAGTTGAATTGCTAATAAATCAATTAAAAGCAAAATATATAAATGGGTTGTAATCCAAGTAGTTCAGTTGAATCCACAGTCAATGGAAGAACTTTCAAATTAATATGTAAATACTCAGTGCATGAAGTCTAAACAGTCGAGCTGGGCCCTCTACGAGGTGGAGCTGTAATAAAGTTTTTAAATATAGGACTAAATTTAGTACAATTTAAATTAATTTGAGTATTAAGACAGTGAGAGTTTTCATTTGTTTCCCTTGTAATCTCCAAATCTTCCAATAAATCCAACTCAAGATAGTTTTTCTTTCTACTGATGTCATGTAAGATAGATGAACCAGAATTGATGTTAAAATTGTGGTTGTTGGATACTAAGTGTTGACCAAAACTTGAAGAGTTTGGTCTTTTCAAATGTTCAGAGACTCTAGTGGATAACTTACTGATGGTTCTACCTACATAAGAGGCATCACAATCATCACATTTTAATTTGTAAATACCACTTTTATCAAGTGTATTCATCCTATCTTTGGTATTGATTAAGAAGGAGCCTAAAGTGTTATGTGATTTAAACGAGATTTTGATGTTATCAATTGTAGAAGTAAAAAGTTTAGATATTTTATTGGAAATGCTGCTAATATAAGTGAAGGAGAAATATCTGATTTTATCTGAAACATTAGGTTGAAAAGACTGTGATGAATATGCAAGCTTTTCTGCAATTTTTAGTTTAGCTCTATTTAGAAGTTTGTATATAATGTTAGGATCATAGCCATTATTGACAGCAATCTGCTTAAGAGTATTGAGTTCTGTATTAAAATTATCATCAGAAAGAGGAAATTTAAGTAATCGATGAATGTAACTATTGAAAGCAGCCATTTTATGCTGAGTTGGGTGGTTAGAGTTCCATGTATAGCGTGATCTGTTTGGTTGGGTTTTCTATAAATGTTGTACTCTAAAGAATCTTTGTTACGGGATATAGTCATATCCAAGAAGTTCAACTTATTGTCAGATTCTGGTTCCAGAGTAAAAGAGATGTTAGGATGGAGGTTATTGAGATCATCCAGAATCTGTAGAGCATCATCTTGGGTTCCCTTAATGAGAGCTATACAATCATCCACATATCTTAACCAAAAAACTATTTTGTTGTTGTTGTTAACAAACTTCTGTTCTAAGCTGTCTAAGAAAATGTCAGCTAGAAAAGGTGATAATGGAGATCCCATTGCTAAACCTGTTGGTTGCTTATATATCTTTTGGTTAAATTGAAAGAAGTCCTGATCAAGACAGAATTTAAGCATAGTTGCTTATAATAACTATAGGGATGAAAACATCTGATCTTGGAGTGCACTGAGTCTACCATGTTTTTGTAAGACTCGTAGAATCCGCTGCTGGCATAATGTATAGCTATAATACTCGAACATGCCTTGTGACACATTTCGGTAAAACGCTTTATCGCATGCAGCTAGCTCTTCGTACATAGATGAGAACAGCTGGGGAAGAGCTTCAAAGCTCGTTGTGATCTGCAGCTGTGGCACATAAACTTGCCATTCATTGTTCTCGACTAGTGCGAATGCCTCTAGGGAGGCGGGGTCCTTAAAGTTTGATTGTATCATCTTTGTCGGATTGATCAACCATTGACGATTCCTTCACATCATTCTCCTTCGGATTGATTGTGCGTTCCTTGGCCTTCTTGTCCTTGTTTTCTCTTTTGCCGTTTTGTGGTACTGGAGGTTCGGTTGTTTCTTTTTTTGCCGGTGCGATGGGGGGTAAGTCTTTATTCGTATCTGAATTTGATCCACCTCGTCCTCGTCCACGGGAGAAACCACGTCCTCTGCCTCTGTAAGTACCGCGACTAGAGCTCATTGTGCTGAGTTTTAGATAGCTTCACAGCTTTTGTTCCATTAAAACATATGTATATATATATATATATATATATATATATATATATATATATATATATATATATATATATATATATATATATATTATTGAGATATTATTGAGATATTCAACGTCTTGTGCGCCAAGCAATTAATTAGCTAATTAATTAAAATTATTTAAATGATATGATTCTGATTCTATCACACTTTTTAATTCTCTTGATCTCATGGTTATATTCGTGCTTCAATATCTATGCTTTACATGCGAAAGGTAACGTCCAAAGAATACCGGAATAATAAAAAACATATATGATATAACATTATATATTGAAATAAAATATTGAAATAAAATTCACCCTCAAATATCTTCAATAAACAATATCTCATATAATGATTCTCAAAATTTTGTTCTACGTACGTGAACCTTCAAAATTAATGGTACAAACAATATAAGTTAAAATCTCAAAATCCCAATTATTATTCTAAATCTCCTAATCAAAATATTTATATCTTTTCTAAAGTAATTGTAAAAATTGTGTTATCAATAAAAGAAAAACTGCAGAAAAACAAAACTATCTCTCTCTGATGATGAGTGGTCCAAATCCTTGTTCCTTGTAGCCTACACTATCTATTCTTAGCAGCTCCCTAGGTAATCAGCAATCTTACAACAAATTGTTGAAAGTTTATCGTCCCTAATGATCTCCTTCAAATGCACGAATCGTTCAGATTATGCTAGCCTCTTCTCCTGTCGATAAACTGAATCTCTCGTTGGCCTGAGTGAAAAATGACTCTTGGAATATCTTCTCTTTACGATAAACTGAATTTCTCGTTGGCCTGAACAGTGACTCTTGGAATATAATTAGAAAATATGACTTACAATCTTTTACTGGATCAGCTTTTGTCAGATACACTAACTACACGAAAACTCACAAACTTTCACTGCTACTGCTTCCTACCTCTGGGAAACTACCCGAAAACAACGGCTGTTCGCCTTGCACCCTTGGAAAACAACTGACTATATTTTTTTCTTCAAAAACTAACTAAAGTCTCATTCTCAAACCAACCTTCCCACCTTTTTCAATCTCATTCAATCAAAACGCGTCATACATCTCCCATTTCTTCCTTTCGATAACACAAACAAATTTTTAACTACAATTACAAAATTTCCTAACATTATTTACAAACTAATCTTTTTCTACCAATTCTTATGAACTAACAAAAACATATCTTTCTACAGTATATTCTATTGTCTTAATTACTGCACAAATTTATTTGGAAAACCCGGTTCCATTGTCTAAGATTTCACTTAAGCTCACTCACGGCACTCAAATATATTTTAACAAAGAAAATAATTTATGCATATCTTACGTTCTGTTCAATATAGGTAATACAAAGATGATGGACTTTCATTTTTCGAAATGTTTGTAGTAGTTTATTATTCGACTTATCTGAATTATTTTAATTTTTTGAACTTTGAAATATTTTAAGCAAACCAATATTTTTCTCGATTTTACATATACAACATATACAACAATATATATATATATATATATATATATATATATATATATATATTATATATATATATATATATATATATATATATATATATTATATCTTATTATTATCAATGATTACCAAGATTATGAATACACTAAATTTTGTATTAGTATTAGTATAGAACTTACCGATTCAAAGTTTTTTTCTGAGCATTTAAAAAAATCCTCAAAATTCGCAAACTCTTCTTCTGAGTCCAAAGGCAAGGAGAAATTTTCCCATATATTCAATATAGTTAACTCTTCTTGGAGTTCTCGGGGAAATGATGTAGATATTTTAGAAAGATTACTGACTTCAGCCCGTAAGTCAGTAACAATTAACTGTAACATATTTAATTTTCTAAGGATGTGTTTTAGATATTCTAAAAAAGAGAACATTTATGTGAGATTAATATAACTAGTTGTTAAAAATTTTTCATACCCTCATTTATCTGTTGTTGTTTTTCACATTTACATGCTGCTCCATTTTTCCACTGCTGTCAACTTAAATATAAAATAGGTTAAAACTAAATATTTACTTATAGCTGTGATATAAAAAGAATACAGTGAAACTTCTATGTAATTCATAAGAAGCATAATTAAATAAGGCCTAATAGAAACAAATTTCTATTTTCCCCTATTTGAATAAGTGGCATTGTAGCAAATTTTGTATAAAAGATACTGAACTAAAATTAATTATAGAAGTTTCACTCTGATGCTATTATTTTATATTTCCTCTGTACCTGATTCTACATCTTCCATGGTTTCTTTTGCACATACATCTTCCTGCAAAGAATCTGAATCACCTAAAAAGCAGAGAGTGAGAATATAAATGGGAAATAATTTCTAAAATATAAATTATATAGGGAAAAACAAATCTAGAAACTTGTGATGAATTACCTGATCCTTTTTTGGAAGATTGCTTTGGATGGTTTTATTTTTATGCCCAATGGCACTCTCTGAATCACTGCTGCTGCTAGTGGTGGCAAACTTTGTTGGAGGACGGCGTCTGCGAGGCCTGTTATCTGACGAGTTGAGATCAGATGTTTCCTCCGCCTTCTGGCACTTCCTCCTTGCAATACTATAATCATCTATGAAAAAAATTATTTGTTTATTTATATAGATCAACCAGAAGGTCCGTATTTCATTTCTTACCATAAGAGGCATTTCTAAATGGACTTATGTCATGTTTTTCCCAAGTAGGTAGAATTGGGTCACCATTGTTTAGGGCCTTTCCCAATTTATTGGCCTCAGAATGTGGCCAAGCACAGGTATTGCCCTCAGCCAATTTGTTGGCATAGCCTCTACTGAGCCATCTTTCAAAAATCCAACTATTGTCAAGGTTTTCATGATTAATAAATATTTGCGATTAGTTCTTATCGTTCCACAGGCTAATGTATTCTCTCCCTTTAACTTCTCTGATAATTTCACTGTGGTATACCTTCAATAAACAATATCTTATATATGGATTCTCAAAATGTTGTTCTACGTACGTGAACCTTCAAAATTAATGGTATAAATAATATAAATTAAAATCTACAAATCCCACTTATTATTCTAAGTCTCCTAATCAAAATATTTATATCTTTTCTAAAGTAATTGTAAAAATTGTGTTATCAATAAAAGAAAAACTGCAGAAAAACAAAACTACTATCTCTCTCTCTCTCTCTCTCTCTCTCTCTCTCTCTCTCTCTCTCTCTCTGATAAGTGGTTCAAATCCTTGTTCCTTGTAGCCTATACTATCTATTCTTAGCAGCTCCCTAGGCAATCAGCAATCTCACAACAAATTGTTGCAAGTTGTCGTCCTTAATGATCTTCAAATGCACGAATCATTCAAATTATGCTAGCCTCTTTTCCTCTCGATAAACTGAATCTCTCGTTGGCCTGAGTGAAAAATGACTCTTGAAATATCTTCTCTTTACGATAAACTGAATCTCTCATGGGCCTGAACAGTGACTCTTGGATATAATTAGAAAATATGACTTTGTAACAAAAAGCTTTGTGCTGTGGCACGCCAATGTAACAAAACGTGTAGGATAATAGAAATGATAACATATAATTTAAGCTGGCTAGCAGAAGGTGCCGGAGAGTGACTACTTGACACTCAAAGGAGAATTCGGCCAATTTGCATGCCCTACAGAGACCGTAGAATTAGAAAATGAATGACAAGTTAGTAAAAAAAACTATAGGTATATAAATAAGATAAATAAAAATGATTATAGAAGTTGCTCCAAAATGTGAGTGGGCGCCAGGAAAGTATTTACATAAACTTTCCAAGGTATCTTGTAAAGCTGTTTGCTAAAATAAAGAAAGGATATAGGTATGAATTGAAATATTTAGTTTTCACCAAAACTTTAATCCCTAGCCAAATATATACAATCTAAATTTAATATACCCACCACCAATTATGTACAGCTAATCTAGTTATATACAAAAAATAAATGCCCTGGTTATACAACTGATCCTGGATGATCTAAATTTACAAATAATAAAATATGGAAAAAAAAATGGTAATAACTGACCTAAAAAGGTAATTTATTTGCCTCAGAGATGCAACTCTGTATTCTGGCTTTATTGAATATAACAGTACCAAGTAATAAGGACACTATCTTGACGAGATAAGTGTCCAAACGTTTAAATATATATTGATAATAAAATCTAAAAAAAATAACTCTCTGATTAAATGTGTACACAAGAAACCATACAAGTGAGTTAGAAGGGAGGACTTAAAAACCTCTACCTGTAGTTGACAATTTGTATTTAAATATTATTCAATAAATTATTAAAAAAATGACGACTCTTATTATTATATGAAATACTAGAAGTTAAATATACAAAAAAATTATACAAAAAATATCATAGGTAAAAAAAATAAATCTAAGAAATAAACTTAATCCAGATTTACTATATTTTAAGGGAGATAATTCCCGCTGGCTTCCTAAGATTTTCGTAATCGGAAGGTCAGATCTGGACCTCTGGAGAGCAGCTACGGCAAGGAAAAAAAACAGGCCTGGAACCAGGTATAACCGGACTAGGTTTCAACTTAATCGGTACTTCTTATTCAAATTATTCAAAAAAAAACAAAAGCAAATTCTTCCCCCGACTTCTGTTTGAATCCCAAAGGTAGGCTAAAAAAACATTTCTTTTAGAGTTTTTTCTTATACTTTACAGAGGAGGAAAAAAAAACAAGGTTTATGAACCTTGAAAGGTTTTATAAATGTTACTTATGAATTGTGAGAGCAAAAAAAACTTAATGGATTTATAGATAATTTGACCGTCGTATGGTTTGACAATTTAAATGGATTAATTATATCGACAATTTTAATGAAAAGCATATGATACGAATATATTTTATAATATAAAGAGCGATATAAGACAGAATATTTTAACGATACTCTTAATAGCAATTTTACCGATAGATAATTATGTTTTACGGCCGGGAAATAAAATTAAAATACATATGATTTTAAATCAATTAACACTATCTATTTAGATGTTGAATATTTCTTAATGACGGATGGAAAAAAGTTCAGATAAGTATATCGAATTGAAACGTGACAATACAGGATCTCAAAATGGCTGATGACTTTTTTTTATTTTCGTTTTATTTATAACTTGGATACTTACGGCGCTCACAGTGGCTATAAACCAAACAGGACACTCCAATCAAAAAACCCCAAACTAAAACTTCTTATTACTTCTTCATAAAAAAACTCTTAAATTCCAAAAACCACGCCACGTGGCCCCTACCTTGGACTCAAGTTTCTGCTACCAAAGTTCAAACAGAAGTGCGATTCGGATACTCAATTTCTTCTTCTTCTTCTTCTACTTTTTGTAGATCTTTCGATCTGTTTAATTCTGAAGCTGCCTCTGGTTAATTTCTTGGGAGGTAGATTGCCAACTATCCCTCCATCTTTTAGGTGGTCTTCCGGGGGGTCTTGCTTGGATACTCAATTTGAGCCAGCTAAACTATGATTTCAAACTTGGACGCTTGGTGTCGCTGTTTCATACCAACTTAAATTTTTAAGATTCAGAAAATCATTAAGAGGATTAAGATTTTAAATTTATTTAAAAATATTTACGGAATGTTATAGTAACGTTCTCGTTACACTTTCTCGTTACACTTTCGTGTAGTCAGATACACTAACTACACGAAAACTCACAAACTTTCACTGCTACTGCTTCCTACCTCTGGGAAACTACCTGAAAACAACGGCTGTTCGCCTTGCACCCTTGGAAACCAACTGACTATATTTTTTTCTTCAAAATTAACTAAAGTCTCATTCTCAAACCAACCTTCCCACCTTTTTCAATCTCATTCAATCAAAACGCGTCATACATCTCCCATTTCTTCCTTTCGATAACATAAACAAATTTTTAACTACAATTACAAAATTTCCTAACATTATTTACAAACTAATCTTTTTCTACCAATTCTTATGAACTAACAAAAACATATCTTTCTACAATATATTCTATTGTCTTAATTACTGCACAAATTTATTTGGAAAACCCGGTTCCATTGTCTAAGATTTCACTTAAGCTCACTCACGTCACTCAAATATATTTTAACAAAGAAAATAATTTATGCATATCTTACGTTCTGTTCAATATAGGTAATACAAAGATGATGGACTTTTATTTTTCGAAATGTTTGTAGTTTATTATTCGACTTATCTGAATTATTTTAATTTTTTGAACTTTGAAATATTTTAAGCAAACCAATATTTTTCTCGATTATACATATAACAATATATATATATATATATATATATATATATATATATATATATATATATATATATTATATATATATATATATATATATATATATATATTATATCTTATTATTATCAATGATTACCAAAATTATGAATACACTGAATTTTGTATTAGTAACAGTATAGAACTTACCGATTCAAATTTTTTTTCTGAGGATTTCAAAAAATCCTCAAAATTCGCAAACTCTTCTTCTGAGTCCAAAGGCAGGGAGAAATTTTCCCATATATTCAATATAGTTGACTGTTCTTGGAGTTCTCGGGTGATGATGTAGATATCTTAGAAAGATTACTGACTTCAGCCCGTAAGTCAGTAACAATTAACTCGTAACATATTTAATTTTCTAAGGATGTGTTTTAGATATTCTAAAAAAGAGAACATTTATGTGAGATTAATATAACTAGTTGTTAAAAATTTTTCATACCCTCATTTATCTGTTGTTGTTTTTCACATTTACATGCTGCTCCATTTTTTCCACTGCTGTCAACTAAATATAAAATAGGTTAAAACTAAATATTTACTTATAGCTGTGATATAAAAAGAATACAGTGAAACTTCTATGTAATTCATAAGAAGCATAATTAAATAAGGCCTAATAGAAACAAATTTCTATTTCCCCTATTTGCATAAGTGGCATTGTAGCAAATTTTGTATAAAAGATACTGAACTAAAATTAATTATAGAAGTTTCACTCTGATGCTATTATTTTATATTTCCTCGGTACCTGATTCTACATCTTCCATGGTTTCTTTTGCACATACATCTTCCTGCAAAGAATCTGAATCACCTAAAAAGCAGAGAGCGAATATAAATGGGAAATAATTCCTAAAATATAAATTATATAGGGAAAAACAAATCTAGAAACTTGTGATGAATTACCTGATCCTTTTTTGGAAGATTGCTTTGGATGGTTTTATTTTTATGCCCAATGGCACTCTCTGAATCACTGCTGCTGCTAGTGGTGGCAAACTTTGTTGGAGGACGGCGTCTGCGAGGCCTGTTATCTGACGAGTTGAGATCAGATGTTTCCTCCGCCTTCTGGCACTTCCTCCTTGCAATACTATAATCATCTATGAAAAAAATTATTTGTTTATTTATATAGATCAACCAGAAGGTCCGTATTTCATTTCTTACCATAAGAGGCATTTCTAAATATACTTATGTCATGTTTTTCCCAAGTAGGTAGAATTGGGTCACCATTGTTTAGGGCCTTTCCCAATTTATTGGCCTCAGAATGTGGCCAAGCACAGGTATTGCCCTCAGCCAATTTGTTGGCATAGCCTCTACTGAGCCATCTTTCAAAAATCCAACTATTGTCAAGGTTTTCATGATTAATAAATATTTGCGATTAGTTCTTATCGTTCCACAGGCTAATGTATTCTCTCCCTTAAACTTCTCTGATAATTTCACTGTGGTATACCTTCAATAAACAATATCTTATATAAGGATTCTCAAAATGTTGTTCTACGTACGTGAACCTTCAAAATTAATGGTATAAATAATATAAATTAAAATCTACAAATCCCAATTATTATTCGAAGTCTCCTAATCAAAATATTTATATCTTTTCTAAAGTAATTGTAAAAATTGTGTTATCAATAAAAGAAAAACTGCAGAAAAACAAAACTCTCTCTCTCTCTCTCTCTCTCTCTCTCTCTCTCTCTCTCTCTGATGATAAGTGGTTCAAATCCTTGTTCCTTGTAGCCTATACTATCTATTCTTAGCAGCTCCCTAGGCAATCAGCAATCTCACAACAAATTGTTGCAAGTTATCGTCCTTAATGATCTCCTTCAAATGTACGAATCATTCAAATTATGCTAGCCTCTTCTCCTCTCGATAAACTGAATCTCTCGTTGGCCTGAGTTAAAAATGACTCTTGGAATATCTTCTCTTTACGATAAACTGAATCTCTCATTGGCCTGAACAGTGACTCTTGGAATATAAGTAGAAAAATATGACTTACAATATTTTGCTGGATCAGCTTCTGTCAGATACACTAACTCCACAAAAAACTCACTAACATTCAACACTACTGCTTGCTACCTCTCGGGAACCACCAGAGAACAATGACTGTTCGCCGTCCACACTTGGAAACCAACTACTATCTTTTTTTCTTCAAAAACTAACTAGTTTTCTCATTCTCAAACCTTCATTATTCATATTCAAACCTTCATTATTCATATTATTCATATCGTTTCGTTCACGGCCTTCAAAGTAGGGGGCGCCTTTATAAGCTAACTACACGGTAGTAAAGATTTGGGAGACATTCGTTTTACTTTCCGAGTTTGAATTTGTATCAGCCCAAGTGTCTGACGATGGCTGGGATAGGCCGAAATGATCATAATACTTTAGTGATACCAATTCGAGCACGGGAAGTTTAACGAATTTGTCTCCTAGGCCATATAGTTGGCCATTTAATATATAAAGCGATAGCGGCTTTCGCTAAAAGATTTAATTCTTTACATACATATATATATATATATATATATATATATATATATATATATATATATATATATATATATTATAAAGAATATTTATGCAGTTTAAAAATGTATATAATATACAGAATGTCCCGAATTTTATATTTTATTTGAAATTTACTTTTAACGTAAAAATTACATGTACTAAATTTAATGTACTAAATAAATTTTAATTTTTGAAATTATATTGTTAATATGCTCAATCAAATGTTGATTTACTGTGTGTCAGAATCGGATGTTTCATCTGCACCTCCCTGGTAAACATCAGGCTCTTCCAAGAAATTTATTACCTCAGCTGGATATTTATTGAAATCCTTGGGGATTAGCTTTCTTAAGCTAGTAATATAGGGATCTGAGGATATCAAAAGGCGATGGAAAACATCCTCCATATTTTTCTGTCTAGAAAATTTTCTAGAGAAGCTTTCTCGATATCTTTTAATATCCTTGTTGCGTGCTTCTTGGGCTTCTTCTCCAAGTTGGCCAATAGGTAGAATGGCATTTGAAATAATTTCAGCACTATGAATTAATATTTTGTGAACTGTAGTTGGCATATTATACCAAGGATACAGTTCCGTAAATCTGGTAGCAGTGTCCAGACAATAAATTTTAAATGACTCAACTTTTATTTTGTGCCCAGATGAAATTGTTGCTAAAATCACTTTAAAACGTGAAATAAGTTCCTTGTTGACCCCAGTGATTTTTAAGAAGTTTCGGGATCACCAAAAAATCGTCGAGCAGTATTGCCATCATTTGAGCTGCCATATCCTGGTTTTGGTTTATCAACTAATAAACCCATTTCCTGTCGAAATGCTTCTTGAATCTTTTTCTTATTTTCTGCAACCTTTTGTTTATCTTCGTTACCACGAGCTTGCCATTTACGAATAACAAGTTTATAAGCCAAATGGAGAATACATTCAAAGAAGCGAATCCAAGCATGTAACGAAGATAATCCAAATTGTAGATGTGATTTATTTATTACTTTAGTTTTCATTACTAACTCAATGTTATTGAAATTTTTTGATGAAAGACCACACAGATAGCACTTTTGTGTTGATGAATTTTCAGATACTGCATTGCACACCTTCCCATCTATCATCGTAAATAATAGTTCATGGTTAACAATTACCTTACAGTTCTTGACCGTTACTGATGTGGGTTGTAGCCGCGATATTTGGTTTTCAATATATTTCACTTCTTGAATTGTAGAGTATGTCGTTTCATGAAGAAATTGCACCCGGATTGGCCTACAGTATCTTGGAGATGAAGGACGAGGGTTATGCCATAAAACAACATTTCCTTTTATTTTTGGATTACCTGATATTAATTGTATAGGAACAATAGAAGTGAGAAAAATATTACTATCAGATACTTTGGGATCTAAAAATTTTTGCTTGTATTCACTCATACCAGAACTTCCGTCACAACCCCATTTTGTGATAAGGTAAAGGTTTTTGAATACCTCAGGCTTCAAATGTTCAGTAACTTCCTTAATAGAAAGAAATAGTCGAGACACTGTATGATCTAATAATTGTTGCAGGGAAGCTTCAGCAACAGATTCAGTGATATGTAAATTGTCAGGATAACACTTAGTTTTGGCTGAGATAATTGCCTCATAGTTGGGATACATGTTGCTGTTGTGTTCTCTGGCCGTATTTCTAATCAGGTTATACTGAAATTTTGTTAATTTCCCCTCAACAACCATCGATAATGCCTCATCTGAAGTCAGTGAAGTAATATTCTGTTTAGTTTTTCTATATGCTTCTTTATATTTCGTTGCCCGAGTTGGACTAGAAAAACCAATATCTTTCATTACAATTGCTGTATCTATCTCACCTTCAGCTCTAAACTGCATTTGGGCTGCATATGTTAATTCTTGAGAACTCAATTTGGAACGAACGTTTTCTGTTTTCCTTCTTTTTGATCGTTCACTTGCCGAAGAAAAGTCTTTCTGTGGTCTCCCATGAGAAGTTCTACTGATATTCGAAGAGAATTCCAGAGTAGTTTCTAGCCAAGTTTGATTTTTTTTTACAGAATGTCTGATAAGTTCTCGATGATAAGTCCCACTTAGTTTTATAGTGTTTAATAAAATTTTCCAATTTTTTCATTGAGTCATCGGATAATTCGTCACTTTTCATGGAAATCTTCACTTTTTGGCACAGGTAATTATATTTGCCTTTTAAAACTTTTAAATGGACAACTTCTTAGAAATCCAACCATTTCATTTCTGGTAAAAACAATACGTGTCATTTTAAACCTGCAATAAATAATTATAATTAATCGGATCCATTTACAAAGCAACTTAGATGTATTAAGAGTTGACCTGTCAGTTTTTGGCTTCTTAATACAAAGTTTCGTTTATGCATTTTTTTAAGTAAACATTTTTGGACTCACACGACCAAAATTATTAAAAAATATAAAAATAAGAAAGCAAAAAGATAGGCCTATACATGACCGTAAAAAGGCTTGGAGATTAAGAAAAAAGAAGAAGAAAGCAAAAAATAACAAAAAACGGAGGTTATTGTGTAAAAAAATGTAAATTTACTGGATCAGATATTTCATATTTTGTTCTTACTTTATTAATTGACATTAAAGTCTCTTAATGTAGAAATTCTCCAGCATGTTATATTTTTTTAAAATGAAAAATTCCGCTAAGGTTGCACTTGGCTGCAGATGATTTTTTGAGGATTATTTATATACACATTGAACTATTTATTAAGCAAAAAGTCTTAGCTGACCAAAGCGGACTTTTTTACTTTTTTCTCTTTTTAAACAAAAACGATTGAAAATTCTTGCCACTATTTTGTAAATATTTTTTTTTTAACAAACCCCATACCTTGAGCACACAGTATAGTAAAAGAAAAAACCTGATCATCCATCCAACATCCACTCTCCTATATCAGCATCGTCCTCAGTTGTTACAGCTCTGTTTTGAAGCGACAGCATGGCATTTTGGAGTATGTCCTGTGCGTATAGTTTCCTCTTTTGCTTTTTCTCATCTGGCTCATCAGGACCACCCCGAACCTGGGCTCTGCGTTTCAAGTATCTAGAAGGGTTTTCCAACGCTTCCTTGATATGTCTTCTTAGGGTGACTTCTCTAGACCAAAAATATTCCCTTGATCTTGTAGCTATGTATTGGTTGCCGCGGATTGTTACTTTATACTGGGTGCCATTTTCAATTGTATCTGCTTTCTCCAAGAGGGTTCTGACAGACATGTGAGGAAAATCCTCCTCTTCATCAAAACCGAGTATGTAGCCATGAACCCCTGGTAAGGAAGACTGGATCACAGGTATAGGTTTGGCTACTATCTCCCCATACTTCTTACCATACACCAAATATCTTTTTAAATCTTGGTTGTAGATGAATATTCCTTTCCTTCCCAATAGATCCACCAAATCTCCGTTTTTAGCTCTCATAGAAACTACAGCATTACCATGTGTCTTTGGGTCTTCACCTGCAAATAGATACAGGAATGCACAATATTTCAAGTCAGTTTTTTCATCGTTCATTCTTTGGATGAGTATTTCTTTACAGGTTTGAGACAACAACTCTAGCTTGTTGAAGTGGCCCTTCATGTGTTGGTTGTTCATCTTGAAATCCAACTCTCCAATGGCCTGTTTCAGGTCTGCAAGATGCTTCTCAAACCACTTCAGAGACAGTTCAAT